GCTAACAGGGAAGGAGATTAGTGTCAGTCTCTAATGGACACTTCAAGTAAATTCTAGGATAGCTAAAACCTCTAGATGATTTTGTGATTGCATTTTGCAATATACTGTTTAACAAGTATAACTGAAGGTTTCAGTTAAATAAGTGGTTTGCGTTCAAATCAAACCATTTCAAGAAGTGATTGTTCAAGCAAATTATATTAGACAGATTCACATTGGCATTTCCTCAAACAGGTTGAGAGGATACAGAGAAAAAGGGAATAACGGGCTTTCTGACTCACCTGCTGGGAGAGGTAGACGGCAAAGAAGGATATCCACCACCAGGGTCTGCCGTACTCCTTCCTCATCTCGTTGAACCGCCAATCCTCTCTCGCCCCCCACTGCCACCGCTCCCTCCTGAAATAGTTGTGGGTGAGCCTCACGCTCCACACCCAAGTCAACACGGTCACCACCGCCGACCTAGCAGCGTCCGCTTTCGCCAGCGGATGGCTAGCGAAGTAGTGGACCAGCATCACCGGGATCACCGTCCAATACAGATCAATCAACTGCAAGCCCAAACAAAGAAACATTAGCAGCCGCAACAGCGAGGAATCCTCCGAAGAACACGGCGATTGTGAAGAACGTAACCCAGTGGTTGGAGAGGAGGAGGCCGATAAGCCAGAAGAGGACGTCGACGTTGGCGAAAAAGAGGACGTTGGCGAGGAGGAGAGGGTGGTGGAAGCACCAGCCCCAGAGGTGGTCTGAAGGGGGAGGGGAGGGAGAGGAGCGGTGGCGGTAGTGGTGGAGGAAGGAGAGGTAGAAGAGGACGGAAGGGAGAGGGGCGAGAAAGGCAATGGCGGCGTTCTTGAAGCTTCCCATGGCGACTTCTTTCGGGGTTGGGTGGATCGAGCCGGGGGTTGCAGAGCGGCTTTTAATAGGAAGAAGAGGAGGAAGGCGATGCACTTGTTATTGAAGGCCGCGCGTGAACACTTGGCATTCAATGCCACTAAACATTCCGACTGTGGGGTCCAACCCAAATCTTCTCTCTTGCATGTACTTTTCTTCTGTATCAGCCCACTAAAGATTTCACTCTTCCGTGAGGAGCCCAAAACAAATAATTCTAAGGGTAAAAAAAAGATTCTAGAGTGAGATTAAATGTGTTTAATGTCCTCCTTCTAATGTTAAAATAATTTTAAAAATATAGAATAAATCAACTCAATTTTGTTTGAGTTCGTATGCGTAAAAAATCCTTCGATGAAAATAAAAATAACTGAAGTACTCGTTCGACAATCAACCTACATAAGATCGAGGATGGATGGATTTTCGAGATGATCCCTCTGATATTTTGATTAGTCCTCGAAATAAAAATAAAAATTTTAAATAAATAATAATTATTATGGTATAATGGGTTTTATAATAGATTTAATTAGAAAAAATATTCTATGGTATAGGTAAAATATTTCTCCGATCTATTTTGGATTGATGTTCGCATGACCCAAATTGATTGTATTACGATGTTATTTACGATTGAGATAAATATTTTTTTCATTCAAATACTAAGTACTTTTGATCATTGTTGCTTGGGTTGATGTATGTGGAGATTTTGATGAAATATTGCTTGATCTTTAGTTATGTTGAGTACTAAAATATATGGACACCAAGTTCTTTTGATCCATGATAACCTAATCACTATTTATCCTCTTAGCCTCACCCGTGAGAATCCCTTTGCAAGGAAGAGGATGCAGTCGACTACTCATTCGCTTCAAACAGAGATTTCACTGTACCTCAAGTGTGCAGAGAAAAGAGATGAATCATCCCCACCTGCAATGAGTTCATCACATCTCAGAGCTCACTTGTTATCCTGTCGGATTAGCAGCAGAGAGCTTTAAGGTGAGATCGAGACAGACAGCAGCTCAGCCATCATGCACCAGCTTCAGGTTTAATGAATAGACCTTTGCTGCTTTCAGCTGTTATGCCATGATGATTCGAACAAAAGGCTTGTCGAAACCATATTTCTGTGAGCAGCAGCTGATGTCCACTCGAATCGATCGAAGCAGAGAAACAGAGGATGGGACTTTCTGCTCACCCACTGCATCTCTTCTGTGTGTGCCTAATGATGACTGCAATCCTGCCCTCATATGTTTAAGAGTCGTGATACTGTGGTCCTCTACTTTGGGAGGTAATTAAGAGGATCGCCGCTTGCCCACTTCCATCTTTCTCATCATCAAACAGCACAAAAAGCCCTCAGAGCCATCATTAGAGTGAATGTTCTACCAGCTCATTCTGCTTAGTTTCTTTACAGTGAGAAATCCCTTAGATTTAACTGAAGATAGCAATGTTGCAGCAAAAGTATGATGCAAAAATGGGGTTCATTGAATAGGGTCATTTTTCTTACTAATCTTTACTTCATCTATGACGATGACAATGATGATCCTATAAAAAGAAAGAGAAGATAATTATATATCTTTTCACTGTCCAGTTTCCTAGTGTAGTGATCCACGACATCCATAATATCTTATTGATTATAAGTAAAATCTTGGGAGATAATATTAACGAAAGGAACTCTCCTAATTATCCTAATTTATGTAAGCCTATGCAATGATAAGATCTTCAAGTCTAGTTTTTTAGTCCTTAACAGTGTGGTGAAGTATCTTATTGATTAAAACATCAAAAATATATGAAATCTGATATTTTATTTCAATTAAGACATTAAAGTTTTTTCTTATTACAGCTTATAACAGCGTAAAATAAAGAACTAAATGCAAAAGAGTAACGCTATGGATTTGGATTTTAGTGCAACTTCAACAGAAGCAAAAGCTTAGATTGATAGATACAAGCGAAGATCTCTGCCACGTGAAGATGTCTTGTATGGTCGTCAAGTTTCAAAAGACAAAAGACATGCAGACAGACACAGCCCAAGTTTCAGTCTTTAGATTTTTTTTTTTTTTGTTCTAACATTTTAAATACAAAACTCAGGTAAGTACAACACAACACTGTGAGATGATAGATTGATTTGATCCCACAGGTACAACGCTTACTTGAGATGAAGACCTGATTTGACTCGAGCTCTTCTTGATCAATACTCCAAAATATAACTTGTGTAATAAAAGAAAAAAAATCACAGCTCTTGATGTGATCACTTTGCAAGGGAGAAGAAATGCTCTGTTACCATGAAAAAACAAACATATATTTATTCTGGAAAAGGTCCTCGTCAATCTTGGAGATAGACCCTCCATATAATCAACATGGAAAGTCTCAACTGTAGATATAAAAATCCCAACGTTTGGGTACTTATAATCAACATACAAGATAGAAAATTACTATATATATACATATATATATATATATATATATATGATTTGTAATATTGTACATTGATAGTAAATACCCAAACATTCAAATTTTTGTAGAGAAACTTTGCACCATTATATAGAGAGTCGATCTCCAAGATGGGGGACATTTTAAAAAATATATATATTATTATTATTTTGTTTTCTTGACTATTACGAGCTTCAAAAGAAATACAAAAGTTATTGGCGAATGTATTTTGTGTAATGACGGTTATTAAGAAAACAACTAAAATATAAAATGGTATTCGGTATATCTTCTTCATGTAGTTTAATATTTAGTTAATATCTATTTTAGTCTTTGGTCATAGATTATTTAAGTTCTTATAATTTACTCATATTTGAAATAATTCATATATGTTTTAAAATGTAGCATATAGGCCCCTTTCATCAAGTCTAGGGTAATATACGTTAGAGTCTACTTATGTGACATGTTGATTCATAATAAACTATTAATATAATAACATGTATAATTTAAGTTTAAAAAAAGATCCATTTTAACCCCTGTGATTTTAATCATAATCACTTAAGCCCTTATGATTTTGTTCATGTCTAAAATAACCCTTATATTTTTTAAAATATAGTATATAAGCCTCTCTTATCAAGTTTGAGTTAATAGACTTTATACTCTACTTATGTGACATGCTAACTTATAATAAATTATCAATATAATAATACATATAATTTAAATAAAAAAATTGATATTACCATCAATAGCGGGATGAGGCATCATCGTGGAAATGACCATCAACAACAATACCAAGTTGTTGCTGTCTATTTGGGCATCGTATGCACGCAACCTCTCATATGCTTACGATAAGCTTATGAGCTTTTGGTCCTGTCTTAGGTAGATATGCATCGATCAGTCCAATACTATGCATGTAATGGTCTCTTGATCACTCTTCCTCCTCATAGGTGCCTTCATCCCACCACCTCCCACTTTGTCATCTTTTGCGCCCCCACCCGTCGCGCTTAGGACGTGGTGGTCCAACTCTCCCTCACCTCCACCTCCGGCCTCTCCTATCTTTGTCTTTCTGCTATCGTCCGTTGCTTCTTCTTTCTTGAATTACATATGTCATTATATTAATGATTTATTATGAATCGATATGTTACCTAAGTAAACTCTAACATCTATCAACTCAGACTTGATATGAGGGACTTAAATATTATGTTTTAAAAAATATGAGGGTTATTTTAGATATAAACAAAATCATAAGGGTTTAAAAGGTACGTGACCAAAATCACATGAGTTATATGTTATGTTTTTAAATTATATGTATCATTATATTATATATATCATTATATTAATAATTTATTATGAATCAGTATATTACGTAAAGATATTCTAATATTTATTAACTAACTTATATGTTATGTTTTTAAAAAGATAATTATTTTAGATACGAATAAATCATAAAAACTTATGCTTCATGATTAAAATTACATTTGATTAATGAACATGTAATATTTGATAAATCGAAAGGAGGAGTTAAGTCGTTTGGATTGTCTCTAAATACATTATTGTATCGATCGGTTCCTTAAATGGTATCTCATCTTTTTCTTGAAGTTGCAAACTTAGAGACATCAAAGGTAAAAGGGAAAGGTAATTTCGCCTGCTAAAGCTTGCTCCAGCGCGGCCATTTGGCTGCTGCTGCTGCTGCTGCACCTCCACGTGCAGCTGTCTCTGTGGCCCATCTCTTCCTCCCGCACTCCAAAGACATCCCATCGCCATTCACACACATACACACTCTCTCTCTCTCTTCGTCTCTCCTAATTTATCATCGATCGGAGAGGAAACGACTTAAATGGATCGACCCAACCCCATCACAGCCATCATAGCTCTTTCTTTATATCAGCACATGAAGATAGTACGTGACTTCACACTTTCCAGGACCGCAACTGGGAACGGTGACGGAGCTCGGTCATGGAGTGGGGAAAAATTGCCAGTGAGGTGGTGGTGGGAAATGACCAGCTTGGAGGTAATTGCCTCGATTTGTGTGTGCGAGTCTTAAACATCGCAACCAGTGGCGTAATATCCGGTGTCTCTGTCTGCTAGTGGATCCCTCACCCATCACTAGACTTTGTGCAGTGTGGATGCCTAACTGAAGCCATCAGACCGTGAAGAGATCAGAGACGTGAAGTGTAGTCAAAGAAAGTTGACGAGCTGCCCTCCTTTGTCATGATGTAATATGGTCCAACTCCATAACCTTTGCTTTGCAGGTTCGTCTTCTTTTAGGTCGGGTATGACGTCCGGCTTGAGATTAATCTTTCGTTCCTGTTTTGGTCGGAGGAACAGTTCATTTGGAGAAGAAGAGCATATGAATTGGACGCTGATGAACAGAGCAGTAGCTATGTTTGCTCACAGCATTCACATCAAAACTTCGACTGGCATTATACATCCATAGAACGCTTAACAGCTTAATTTACATTACACTCTTCTCCTCGTATACGTACTTATAAGAGACATCCATTCATAGAGTCCATGGACAGCACAACACAGTTCAAAACGTAAGGGCGACGACGACGGAGGACCTCGAACCAGAAGACGAACCCCGCTTCAGTTCCTGGGGCCGAGTTGATTCACGAGAGCCAGGGCGTTGCTGGTGACCCGAGCCACCTCGACCACCTTCTTCCTGATGGCCGCTCGCACGGCGGGGCCGGCGTACTGGGAGATGCCGTCGAGGCAGGTCGTCTCGTCGGTGAGCGCAGCGCTGACCCAGGTCTGGACGTTGCTGAGGTGCCAAGCGAACCGAGGGCTACGCGCCCGCCCCATCCGGCCCATCTCCTCCACTGACTGCCGGAGCTGGTCGACGCTGTCGTGCATAGTCTCGATGCAGTCCCGCACCGCGCCGGCCTCCCGGGACCGGACCTTCTTCTGGCCCCCGGAAGACATCCGGCTCACGAAGGCGGAGGCGGACCGGGCCCGGTCGGCGCTGACGGCCAGGGCGGCTCGCGCCAGCTCCCGCTTGCTCCGGTGGACCGCCGGCGCGTAGGCCACCAGGCTCTGCTCGCACAGGGCGGGGTACCGCGTGCCCCTGCAGGAATCGCGCACGAACTCGGCAGGGGAGCTGGTGGCGGAGGTGAGGCAGCTGGCGGGGACGCAGATGGCGGCGGCGAGGAGAACAAAGGCGAGAGTGGAGCGATCCATTGCGGCGCTACTCTTTCCTTTTTTCTCTCTTCAACACTAATTCACACAAAAAGCAGGGTCTTCGAGATCTCTCTATATAGACCACGATGCCGACTAATAACAGTGCCACACGTGACACTGTCTATTCTTTATTGCCGTGGTTGCTCTTTCTTTAATGATCCTTGAGGGTTGCGCGAGATTGTGTGGATAACCATAACACATCATGGGCATGGAGCACAAATATATTGCTTTACGCTAAGGTGCTCCATCCCCATGTCCACCGGTCAAAAGGGCCATGGTTCCATCTACGCATCACGTGGGTGCAGCAGGCTGCAGGTACCCATGTAACATCAGGCTATACAATGTAGATAATGAACACATGGTTAATCAGGTTTAACCACAACAAATCCAACAAGCCTGGGCAACATGTATCGAGATAATAGATTCGTGCTCTTACTGGCTGGCTCCATGTGAAAACATGCAAATAGCACAGGGCAACTGCTGGTTTGTTGATGCTGTGAAAGATACACTTTCGAATAAAGTAGCGGCTACACTCGATCAATGTCGTCAAGGCATACGTGGTGTAGATGAGCTGAAGCGAACAGATATCATATCCAGCGTCGCGTAATAGCGTCTCTATATGAAGATTAGAGTTGAGTCAGTGCCATTCCAAACCTCCCAACGTGGTGGAACCCATTCCTTCCCAGAAATCATTGCAGCCAACTTCTTCACTGTCCACTCCTTCCTTGCTGCAATCCCACTGCCCACTTCCATTTGCATCTGAAACATACCAAAGCTTTTATGTTCAAGGTTTTATGACGGAAGCATATTGTGGAACGATTTCAAGGCGAAGGATTTGAGCAAAGCAAAACTAAGACGGCTTACAGTGATCGTAGAAGGGCTTATCTGTGGTTTCCACTGTTGTCTTCCCTCTTCTACTTCGCCAGGGCTTTGGATCATCACCAAGAACAATCATAGATTTTCGAGCTGTCACCCTCTCACCATCACCTGGAAAGCTAATATATGTTACCGATGCAGCTTTACAGAACAGATTCTGAATCAATGAACAATTGTAAGGAAAAGCCACGCCAAAATGAACCACAAAATGGTGTAGAGCAGATTATCATCATCAACGAGTGGAATGGTTACCATCTTGAAGATGGCACGATGACTGGAGCAACTCATGTCTACTGTGACACTAGAAGATCAAAATGATGATAGATGCTGGTGATAAATTCTACAATCCTCTGTGCTATGCTCATCAAACAATTTCACATGGACTCCATTCAGACCCTCGATTGCTTGAGCACAATTCTTTTTCTTGTTTACCATACAAAGTGAAAGGTGAATTAGATGCTCAATATAAGATCCTAAAGCCAGTTTCTAATGAAGAGTGAGACAAAAAAAAAAGAGCAAAAATACTCTTAGGGCACCGAATAAGAACAATTTAATGCAGAGAGTCACATCGACTGTAAATAACGTTTATGACTTGAGTGATCATGGTTCGAATCAAAGAAACAATCTTTAATCTTGCCAAAATACTTTGGCGGGCTGCCACCCTTCAGAGTAAGATCAACTGAAGGTAACTTTTACACACCTTGACTGATTGAATTTTGAGCATGGATGTGCAACTAAATTGAGACAAAGGGCTTTGATTTTTGTTATTCTAGTGTAGTCTACTTAGTAAGAGAGAAATTTGCATGCTAACAGCGGAGCATAGCCTACATTTTCCTAGCAAGCATTGATAAAGATCATATAAGTCACGCGCCATCAAGAAAAATCTCTCATTGGATCAAGAAAGGTTTGAGGTATATATATGATTGGAGAGAGCTGATGGATGTTTCATGCTTACGAACCTGAAGAATCAAAGGGGTTCTTTCTTTTCCTTGAATTGTCGCCTCCCCCGGTATATGATTGTAGTTGAGGTCCCTCACTTTCGCCTCTTCCGGTGATTTCCGATTGTTCTTTTCCTTTGGCCGAGACCATAAACTGCCGGAAAATCACATCATGGAGAATGAATCTACCGCTCGCTTCATCGTTTTTACTTGATGAATCCTTGGTAGGAGAACCAATCGATGAAAAAGAGGTTTGCTTCACCTGCCAGCAGAAGAATATTCCAAACAGCTGCTCTTCGATCATGCGAATAGCATGGAAATATCATATGTTGTAACGAAGATGAGACACCTTAACTGATCTGTCAGTGGTTTTGATGAGCTTTCGATACAAGAACTCGGAAAGTGGCACCGGCTGCTTGTTGGATGACCTTTTCGGGTGATGCTCGTCGGGAACTCTGGAAATGTGCGTTTGCAGGGGACAAATCACAAGAAATCTTCCAGATCAGAGAGGAACACCACAGCCAAGAAACAATCAAAATAGGAGAGATCTGAGAAGGGAGAAGAACAGCACCTAGATTTGGAGAAGAAAGATGGTGGAAGAGAGGTCTGGCCGAATTCCCTCACTCCCGACGGTCTCGATTTCATTTTTGTTGCCCTTTCTTCTTCTTCTTCTTCTTCCCTCGTGCTCTCTGCCTGCTTGTAATGGTGGGAATTTGGGATACCTTGGCGGGAAATTTAGGGTTTCTGCTTTCAATTCTCCCCGCTCGAATTTTGATCCACTGCGAAATTGGCATTTGCGTACGACTCTCCAGCCCATGCGTCTAAGCCACCTAAGCATAGTACTAGCAGTTGAATCAGTTGACAGATTAAATTTCAAATTAGATCGATGTGAATCGTATTATATATATATATATATATACCTAAATTTGATCCTGATATCTTTGACCTGACCGAATGGTTTGGTCGATGTGACGTTTCGAGTCGACATTCGCTCGCAGCAGCTTGGACCGGTTGGGGCTCCGTTAAAATGTTCGTTTGGGCCCGACCCGAACCCATTTATCTGAGGGGTTCACCTAAGATATCCTCTCATTTTGAACGGATCTAATTCAGTCTCGATCTGCTGTGGGTTTCATCACATCAACCATCACCACAAATCATGACAGCTTAGTCATCCATTAACGGGTTATCGGATTGTCGAATTCCCCATGCGAATAGGAAAGAAACTAGTGCAGACTTTGGCACCGTATGATTCACTTAACGGTCAAATCTAATCCTCCACTTGTTACCGGGTAGATCGAACAGAGCATCTGGTGGGGTCCTCGACAACCTTGATGGACGCTCGCACCCGCTTGGGATTTACTATCAAGAGCCACGCTTTCCGTACATCTCGCAGAATTCACCCTTCGTCTTACTTGACCTCTGGGGGCCAGCCGGCGTGTGGGGCGGCCGTCGAGTCCAGTGACGACGATGGTGAGTGGGTGGGTAAGTCGAAAAATCGGTAGGAGAAAGTATCTAGTTAATGAATTATTGATCGGTACGACGCCGGTCTAACCGCCCTGATGGCACTTCCGTCAATTCCGTCCAAGTGTGGGGGCGTCGCGCCGATGCTAATCATGTACCAGCTTGAACAGTGTACTATCCCCGCATCGGCAATCGAGCCCCTTGAATCGTGGTCCTTGTCCGCCACGTGGGAAAATATCGGACGTCGATCTCGCGGCGGATAACAATAGCGGTACGTTGCACCCGCATCCGGCCTCCAAGATCCCCCCTCTGTCCGGCACCACACGTACAAACCCTCCTTCCATTTAGAATGACTCTTTTGCCCCGGAACTCGATTCATCCATCCGTCTTGGTATATGTACACAAAAGGCAAGTATTGATGGGTCCGATAACCTGCTTGACGCGATTCGAATCGGGTCGGATTATACGGAGATTAGAGACGGGATCAGGACAGGCAGTGCCTCGTCCTTGCATCTTCTATTCCAACTAAAGATATCCGGCAATTATATATAATTATTACATACGTAATAAACAATATAGGAATGAGAGTATAAATGTTTTATTGGATACCGGGTGGGGTCGGAAACGGATCTGAGTCGATAACACGTCTTTGTCGTGGTCAGTTGAATTATTTTGAGGCGCTAAGCCGCCCCTTACATTTCGGAATATCCACATCTGGCACCTGTTCAACACAATACAGCGGGGCAGGGGGCCACCACCGTGGTAAGTAAACGCTAAACTTATCGGTGGGTCAAACACTCGATGATCCGATCGTAGTGGGACAGAGGGGAAAATAGTTAATATGATGAAGCGGTGGGCACTTCGGTCATTTCAAGGGTACCGTCTGGCAATTTGGTAGTTTGCGTCCACGTTCGGGGTATATGCGGGATGAACTCTCCTATATAAAGATGGCTCCGCTTGCGAGCCGCTCCTCCCCTAAAAATCCCCGACTCTCCTCCCCTTTGCGTTTCTCGTTGCTGTTCAAATCGCTCCTCTTTCTCTCCGTTACTCGGCGGCGATCGCCGTTATAACGGCGAGATTAGACGGAGTCCGGTCATCTTCTCCGTTCTCCTTCTCCTTTATTCGTTTCCAATTTCTTTCACGTTCCGTGACCTTTGCCGTGTCGCTCCTCTTCCTCGTCGGGTCAATTTAATTGAAACTGTGGTCCTTTTTTTTATTCCGTCCAATCTTTTTCTCTCTCTCTCTCTCTCTGATTTATAACGCCACTTGGGGGGTTGCATCTCCTCTTTCGGGGTGCTGACGTGGCGAGAATCGGAGGGGTTTCGATGTCGAGCCACGCCCGTCTCGCGGAGACACTTGGCGCGTCAAGGAAGCGGAAGGACCGGGAAAGCCCGCCCGACCTATCCCGTGCCCATCACGCGAGCAAGGCCGAGCCGGCTAAGGAACCGGCCTCGGCACGCTCGCCGACGGCTAAGGAGGGCAACCTGCTCCTGGCCGGCTACTTGGCGCACGAGTTCCTCACCAAGGGAACCCTCTTAGGGAAGAAGTTGGGACCGGGCCGGGCCGACCCGGGGAAAAGGCCTCTTGAGCCAGGCTCGGCTGAGCCGGCGGGGACCTACGCAGAGGTCTCGTATTTGCTGATGCGGGGCGGGGCCCATATACCAGGCGTGGTCAACCCCACTCAACTGGCTCGGTGGCTCCAGATGTGACGACGGCAGCAGTGTCGCGGCGATGACGGGAGGACACGTGGAGATCATCGATCGAAGGTTCGATGAAACCCATGCACTGCTACTACTACATCTCGTTTCGCTGCAGTGGCGCGAGCTGGTGGGTGACACCAACGATGAGTGACTTACGAGAAAAAACTTGTCGAAGCTTTCGTATCATCTTTATCGCCATTTGTTATGTTTCTTTAATCTCTGCTTTCTTGTAGCTTTGGACGTAGCTGAATGCTGCTGCATTTCCCGTTTAAATGCAAGGACTGGTTTTTCTTTCTTACCCTCTCTCTCCTCTGCTGTTGCTTATTTTAAATGGCGTGCTTTTTACGAGGATCGAAATGTTATTCTCTTCGTGCTTCTGCTCCTACTTCGGTAGGAGCATCCGTGCTTAAGACAATGAACCATATGTTGCTGTGCGTTTGCTTTCGTGCATGCGGCTCGTGTTTGCTCTCAAGCTTTTATGAGTATCTAATTTGTGGGTACGTAAATGTTTGACCGAAGGCACCACATTTAAATTCGAAGCAGGGCGAGACGTGAGACTATGGTTCATGAGCTCGTGTTGATAAGAACAATTCTATGAGAATTTTCGGGTGCATGTTTATATTGTCTCGCAGGGATTATATTGATATATCAGCTAAGAAAAGAAGTGAGACTTTGTTAGACTTTCTCATATATCAGCTATTGTGTCGATAAATTGGACTCGTTTTCCCTCTTTCAAGTGAACATGTTTTTGGCTCTTGAGCTGTTATGCACTATGTAGTTTCGCTAGTAAGATCTCTAGAAGTCCCCCTTAATTTCCTGGCTGTTTATAGGTTACATTATCAGAACTTACAGACGTCGAGTAGGCATTTTGTTTCCATTTGATTGCCTTAGAAGATGCTGGATGCTCTTATTCTGACATTAAGTAGCATGTGAAACTAATTAAATATAGCTCGGGAGAGAACTTTCTGTCTTTTTAGGGAAAATTTTCTCTCTTTTTGTATAGCTCTTGCAGAGACGTGACATTAGAATGGAAGATGTACGAGTTGTGCTGTGCAGTGTTCTCATGAATAGTGTGTATTTTCGTTCAGAGCAGTTGTGTAATCCGTTCTCATGATTCAGAAGGGAGGTGTGCGTTCAAGCATAACATGTTAAACGTATACGAGCTCTCCATACATTGAATGATCAGTTTCGAACAGCACGAGTTTCTGGAATCAAGACAAGGCATCAGAGTCTCTAGCTACGGTCATCAAGAAAAGAGAGAACAGCATCAAGGCTGTTAGTAAATATTGGGAGTTAAAGAAAGGCAACTTGATGAGGCAATTGGAAGTGCATCTCATGGTAAAATGTCGACATGCATCGTAGCTAAATGTGTAAAGCAGTTCACGTCTGCCTTCAACACTCTTCTTGTCGCCATGGCTGCAGCCTTGCTTGCATGCGCGTGTCGTCCTGGTTGCCAAGATAGCGGATCTCTACCTGCATGCACTTTGCTGTGAGGTTCACCGAAGCGATCTATCACCAGAGGTCCTTTCTGTAGCAGGTTTCACCGCAGGTGGAGCTACATTTCCACCATCACGAAGCTTCAGGAGTGAAGTGAAGAACTTGTGGCACAGCACGCGCCTTCGTAGTTGTCTCCAGCAGCTGAAGCATGGGAACCGCATATCAACACATGAGTGCATTAGAGAGTGAGACGGGGAATATTGGTCTTCCTTTCCAGTTCGACACATCATCGTAAAACCACAAAAGCCAACCATGGACAGTCCAATAATATTTCTTTGAGCGCACCGCAAGCGGTCAAGGAAAGATCAGTTATAAAAGGTAAAGGCGAATACGACGAATATTTGCTTGACCGCAGCGCAAGCGGTGAAGGAATGACCTTTTATAAAAGGTAAAGGCGGATATGGTTATCGAGGTGGAATATAGTGTCTTTCTATCTCACAGATTCAATTCGAGAATCCTAATTTGAGCATGGGAGAGACCGCATCAAGAATCTTTTCGACACTAATCTTTATGCAGGGAAGCATTTTAGGTTCGGAACCACATCGAAGCTTTTTTGCACATCTATAGCTTCCTGCACAATGAGCGACATCAAACCTTGTGATCATCCTAACCCATAGTCGAGGTTATAAGATCCATTGAATTATCTGTGTAAGACCATGAAGCGTCCACAAGACAATCAAAGATCAAAAAGGAGATCAACTATGCATATAGCACGGATGAATTCATCAAGACGATCAGAAAGGGCTGCCAAACACTACGGCTACGAGTTCTAAGCAGTAAATTAAGTGTCAGATGGCAACATGGAGTGTCAGAATAATAAGTTCAAAGCTGATCGCTACAACCAAACCAGACAACTGCTCCATTACTTCAATCACAAACACGATTCATCATATGAATGCCAGAGTAAGATGAAAGAAAATTATATACTGAACCAAAATAACGTACCTTCAACCATTATTATCAAGAACATATATAGAGATTTTTTCTTGAACTTTGGCACGGCTCAGAACTCTCGCTTTAGATGGTGTAAGAAAGCCTTTTTGCTTTAAAGAGATGATTGAGCCCAGGGACCAAAGTCCTCATATACATAGATGTTCTCCCATCAAGAATATTTATTATCATCAAATCATAACGTTCAAAAATTAATTCAAAATTATAACTTTTTTATTATAACAAAGAACTTTAATGATATTAAATATAACGGTTTCATGAAACTAAAATTATTTAAACCATAATCAATGAAGAAATTCATGATAATAAATTATGAATCTTAATGAGAACAGTTATATTATTATTAAATAAGATATTTAATAATAACTATTACATTCTCCCACTTGGTCCATACGTTCATCTTAATAATTTGAATTAATCTTTCTTGTACAACTTTCTTAAGAAATAAATATACGAATCATAACGATAAGTCCTCTAAGAGCGAGTATTATCATCCATGTATCACAATGTATTTAGTTTCTTAATCTCAATGTGGTAATATTACTTAATGAATAAACCTTATGTTTATTCTTGGTCTAGAAATAATATATTTTCTCAAAATAACGTGCACATGAATAAAAAAATTTCACAATATATAAGAGTTTCAATATCATTACAAAGTGGAACCAAGTCCCATTTTCTCTACATGATCCTTGAATTTCAGATGTGGCATGCCTTTAGTCAAAGGATTAGCAATCATCAATTCAGTGCTAATATGCTCAATGACCACTTTCTTTTCCTTTACACGTTCTCTTATTGCTAAATACTTAATGTCGATATGTTTACTTTGACTTTCACTTTTATTGTTTTTAGCCATAAAGACAGCAACTGAATTATCACAAAAATGTCTTAATGGCCTAGAAATAGTTCTAAACCCAGAAATGAAACTCTTAAATCATACACTATATAAAGTAGCCTCAAAACAGGAGACAAACTCAGCTTCTATGGTAGAAGTAGCCGTCAAGGTCTACTTAGCGCTTCTTCAAGAAATAGCTTCACCGGCCATCATAAAAATATATCCTGATGTTGATTTACGAGAATCAACACAACCGGCGAAGTCTGAATCTACGTAACTAATCACATTCAGATTGTCTGTATGTCTATACATAAGCATGTAATCTTTGGTTTCTTGTAGATACCTCATCACTTTCTTTGCAGCTCTCCAGTGGTCCATACCTGGATTACTCTGATATCGACCTAGCATCCCCACAATAAATGTAATATCAAGTATAGTATAGACCTGAGAATACATAAGGCTTCCTACGGCAGAAACAAATGGGATGTTTTTCATTGATTCATTTTCAAGGTTATTCTTTAGGCATTGGTTCATATTGAACCTATCACCTTTCATAATGGGAGCAACACTTGGTGAACAATCAAACATCCGAAATCTTTCTAAAGGTTTATCGATATAGGTTTCTTGTGATAGACCTAAAATGCCTCGAGATCTATCTCTATGGGTCTTAATGCCAATGACATAAGATGCTTCACCAATTTCCTTAATGTCAAAATTTTTAGAAAGAAATTGTTTCATCTCATGCAGCAAACCCTAATCATTGGTTGCAATCAAAATATCTACGTATAAAATAAGGAAACATATTTTACTCCCACTAATCTTCTGGTATATGCATTGATCCATGGAATTTTCAACAAATCTAAATTAAGAAATAACTTCATAGAATTTAAAATATCATTGGCGAGAAGCTTGGTTTAAATCGTATATAGACTTCTTAAGCTTACAAACCAAGTGCTTACCAACACTAGAGGAGAAACCTTCAGGTTATTTCATATAAACCTCTTCCTCTAGATCTCCATTAAGAAATGTCATTTTCACATCTATTTATTGCAACTCAATGTCAAAATGAGCAACTAATGCTAAAATAATACGTAGAGAATCTTTCTTAGATACAGGAGAAAACGTCTCCGTATAATCGATTCCCTCTTTTTAAGTAAATTCCTTTGCAATAAGTCTTGCCTTATATCTCTCAATGTTGCCTAATGAATTTTTCTTAGTTTTAAAGACCCATTTGTAACCAATAGCCTTTGCTTAACTCTACAAGATCCCAGACTCTATTACTCATCATGGAATTCATCTCTTCTTTCATTGCATCAAACCATAAATTTGACTCTTTGCAACTCATAGCTTGCAAAAATGTTTCAGGGTCATTTTTGGATCCAATATTATAGTCAGATTCTTGTAGGTATACAACATAATCACTACGAATTAATGATGTACCAATGTTTCCCTGAGGAACTTGTGGTTCATCTAGTTGTTCAGGAGCTTGTTGTAATTCCTGAACTGCTTGATTTATTATAATACTATCAAAAACTTGTGAAATTTCAATGATTGATTGTTTAACACTAGTTTGTACTTAAGGAGTGCTATGAACTATAACCAATCTATCATTTGATGTGGAAGGTTGAGATTCTGTATGATCATGTGCGGAAACTATATTCCTAAAATGATCGCTCTCATTAATCACATCATTCTCCAGAAATTTAGCGTTTCTTGATTCCACAATCCTAGTTGTGTGAGATGGACAATAGAACCTGTAACCTTTGGACTTTTCGTCATATGCAATGAAATACTCACTAATAGTCCTCAGGTCCAATTTCTTCTCTTGTAGATTATATATCCTGACTTCAGACGGACATCCCCAAATGCATATATATCGCAAACTTGATTTCCAACTTTTCCATAATCCAAATGGTGTCTTTTGGATAGCCTTGGTGGGAACTCAGTTTAATATATACGCAGCCATCTTTAGTGCTTCATTCCACAAGAACTTAGGAAGATTGGAGTTGCTAAGC